GAAAAACATATTTCCCAGGAATACCCCTTAATATCCCCCAAAACTAATACTACCGTCGACCCCTGCTTCCACCTTTCCACGTCACGCTAAAAACACAACGCGCTCTCACCTCAAGAGAAAAAAAACCCACAGTGGATTCAAAGCCATTCGAACTAAAAGGAATCCCCCCCACTCCTACAAACCGCGAAATGAATATTTATGGTCCTCCAAAGACGTCAACCCTCGAGGTAGGATAAGAAATGGCAACTTTCCTCCCAGGATGGGAGCATTTTATTCCCGGAAATTGGTACTAAAAACCGAGTTTTCCTTGCAGCGGGTGCATTGACACGTTTGCCGTCAATGTCATCGCATGATAGTGAGTTGTAGCTGATAAAAAAAACCGCAAAAAGGGGAATTGTGTGAGGGACGCGTCTGCAGTCTCGCATCGGGAACAAGTGTAAGTCTGCTCCCCACAGAATGGCGTAAGAGTGTTGGTAGAAATCGAGTCTCAGGCCCTCTCACTCCGCCGCGAGTACTCTCGCATTCATCAGAAAGAGAGAGAGAGAGAGAGAGAGAGAGAGAGAGAGAGAGAGAGAAGAACAGTCATCAAGAATGCGCAAGTGAGGGGAGACGGGCGATGCACGCCCATCTATTCCGCCAATGAGCGCTCACTACGTCATCTCGTACGATGTAACGGAAAAGCCGAGCCCACGTGGTGGCTGGTGGTCTCCGTTGGTGTGATATACACGCGCTATTTCAAGCCCAAACGACAAGTGTTGAAGTGCTCTAAACTGTCTTCAACGATCATTCGAGAAATATTTTAACCTCGTATTTAGCATGTTTATTTTATAATGTGAATAATTGTTTCTCATGAATTATTGATAACTCATGAAGCATAAAACATTCATACTGCGATAAATTCAAGTTTATTCATTAAGTTGATCGTTTAACAACGCTTGGCCAGCTGTTTTGATTTTTTCGAAGCGGAACAAACATAACTGACGTGTTTGAAAATAATCTCTGCGACTGAAATTTAGGAGAATGAATCGACGAATGGGGCCTTTAATTTTTCGGATTTCGTCTGCTGAAAGTGAATCGACTGTTCCCGTGACAGCGAAGTTATTTAAATTGATCTCCAATGAATTATGTAACGCATCAGATGATCCAGTTGATTGATAACGTCGAATATTCGACGGGTAGAATTGAAACGGTCAGATCGCATCGATAACGCGCGTCAATTCTCGGTTATTCCGTCGTTTTTTGCACCATTTTCTCTAGTCATCCTGTGATAAACTCAAATTGATTCATCAAGTCAATCGTTGTTTGAGTTTCATGAGCCGAAATACTGTTCGAAAATCTGCATTGACGTCGCGAAACGGAGGAATAGATTTCGATTAAAACAGAGAGAACTCGGCAGATGGAGCAGTTCATTTTTCGCATTCCATCTGTTAAAAATAACTATACTATTATCGTAATAACGGAATCATTTAATTTTATCTGCAAGTTAGGTAACAGTTCAGATAATGGTACTGCTATCTCTCGCAGCTGTGTTATAGTAATTAACAAAACCGAATCATGTGGAATATCCGGGAAAATCGAGACGTTCACGTCGTATTGATTTCCTCTAGTCATTTTGCTCGCATTTTGTAATAAATTGAAATTTATTTCATTATTTTGAAGGAATTTTCAAAAACTACTTCAAGCCATTTCAATTGACATTTAAATTCCTTGAGAGATGGGGTATTCAATTCCCCCCGCCCCCCTCTATTGCTTCAGCTAAAAATAACTCCAATATTCCCATAATAACAAAATTATGCAATATCATCTTCAAAGAACAATATACCGCTTCACATGATGATACTGTTATCTCCCGCAGCTGTGGGCCACCGTAATTAGCAATACCGAATATTTAAAATACCCGGGAAAATCGAAACGTTCCCATCGCATTGATAATACGTGTCGATTCGCAATTATTCTCCCGATTTTGACACGATTATCTGTATTTGTCGAGTAATAAATTCGCTTCTACTCATTAATTCAATCGTTCAGCAACTTTTGGGCTTCTTTTCCGGAGATTACTTCACGTAATTTTAATCAAAATTTGGAATACTTGACTAATGAATCGTTTAATTGCTCACATTTCCCCAGTTAAAAATGACTCGAATATGCGCATAATGACAAATTTATTCAATATTCTCCTCAAAGAACAATCCACCGCTTCGAATAATGATACTGTTATCTCCCGCAGCTGTGGGCCACAGTAATTGACAACACCGAATATCTAAAATATCCCGGAAAATCGGAACGTTTCGATCGTTTTGTTAATACGTGTCAATTCTCCCGATTTTGACACGATTCCCTATAATCGTCGAGTAATAGATTCAAGTCTACTTATTAATTCAAGTTTTCAACAACTTTTAGTCTTCTTTTCCAAAGATTACTCCACATAATTTTGATGAAAATTTAGAATAGTTGACAGATCGAACATCAGATGGGTTTAATTTCCCACATTAACCCAGTTGAAAATACCACAACTAGTCCCACATTAACAAAATTATTCTATTTCATCTCCAAAGAATTATATAACGCCTGAGGTAATGAGACTATCTCTCGCGGCTGTGGGTCACAATAATTATCAAAACTGAATATCTAAAATACCCGGGAAAATCTTCTCATCGTATTGGTAATACGTGTCAATTGTCTATTATTTCCCCAATTTCCTATAATCGTCGAGCAATAAATTCAATTCTACTCATTAATTCAGTCTTTTGTTCCAAAGACTAGTTCGCCTCATTTTGCTTAAAATTTACAGTACTTGACAGATGGGACAATTAATTCCCCCAAATAACTCGAGTATTCCCATATTAACAAAACTCCTCTATTTTCTCTTCAAAGAATTATATAATACCTCAGATAATGAGGTCAATTGTCTATTATTCCCCCAATTTTACCACCATTTCTTATAATCGCCAAATAATAATTTCAAGCCTACTCATTAATTCAATCGATTACCAACCTTTAGTCTTCTTAATAAATAAAATTTCGAAGACTTCACAGATTCTCAGGACATTTAATTCCCCGCATCACCCCGGTTAAAAATAACTCGACTACTCCCATACCATCAAAATTATTCTCTTATCTTCAAAGAATTATATAACGCCTCAGATAATGAGACTGTATCCTGCGGTTGTGGGTCACAATAATTAAGAACGTGTCAACTCCCGATTATACCATCAATTTTAACCCGATTTCGCATAATCTCAAGTAATACACTCTCGTCTGCTCATTAATTCAATCGTTCACCAACTTTTATTCCTCTTTTCCAAAATTCCTTCGCGTAATTTACACCAAAATTTAGAATCCTTGACTGATGCGGCATTCAATTCCCAACATTACCGCAGTTAAAAATAACTCGACCATTTCCATCTCAACAAAAGCATCCGATTTTATCTTCAAAGAACGACATACCGCTCCAGATAATGCGATTGTTATCTCTCGCAGGTGTGGGCGGCAGTAATTAACAACACCGAATGTCTAACGCACCCGGAAAAATCGTCACGTTCACACTATACTGTTAAAAATTTTCATCTGAATTTTCCGTGCTAAATTCCGGAAATTTTTGAAAAATCAAATATTCCATTGATTTACTGTCCAAATGATCTGGAAATCAATAAAACACTTGATTTTTCAGTTCAATTATTCGGTGAAAATTCAGGGAAAAATTGAAAATTCATGTCATTTTGTTTCCGAATATTCAAGTTCCACTGAAAATTCAATGAACTTGTGAAATTTCCATCTCACTCCCACTGAAAACTCCTGAATTTCCGTGGATACTACTTAAAACTTGAAAATTCATAACCATTTTTCCCTAAATCCGATTCAATGTCACTCTCATGAGCTTTACTCTACTATCTTCCCTGAAGTTTCAAAAAATTTCTAACAGTGTACACCGACAGCACGTGCCAATTCCCACTTATCCCCCAATTTTTACGCGAATCCTCCAGTCATTTTCCGATAAGATAGCTCCCGTCTCCCGAGAATGCCTCAATCAAGAGATTCTTCCAATCAAATCACCGACAACTACAGACGTCATAATCACGCTGTTGAGACTTAGTTTTTCTGTAAACAAGCCAGACGGTTTATATTAGTCATCACTCTCGCAATCGCAAAAGTTATTCCGTCTGAGATGAATTAGACGCAGTTTTCCTAGGATAAACACTGTTAGTAAACAAAACAATTAGCCGCCCAGTGATGGCAGTTGAATAACGATTTAATAATAGATGAACTGCGAGTGTTGTTACTCCTCCACTTACACCGAATGCTCGACGAAAGCAAATTAAATCCGAATTTGATGAAAAATTGTTAGCCCCTGTCATATAATCCAAAATCAATAACTCGATTTCAATCAAATTAAACCGATAGTAATCTCGTCTTCTGTTTTTATACGGAAACATCCGACACCTGGAGCACAAATTCGCCAGCGAGTTCGTCAGATATTCCATAATAATTTGTGACGCAACCCGAGTTTCATTATCAAACTCTTGAGATTGTCTTGAAAGGGAAGTTTTCACCGTCCAAACTTTTCTGAATGGAGAGCAGTGAAAAAGGGGGGGGGGGGAAATTCACCGTGGACTGGAATAAATCTGATACGAGTTGTACGATATATAGTGCATTATATTATATACTCACAGGAGTAGAATGCCGTCAGTAGCAGGGTGAACCAGGACAGTTGTTTCTCCGCTGTGTTTCTCATTTTCTTAATTAATACTAATCTACTAAAAGATAATTGAACTGCTGGGTTCACTGGCTGGACGCCTCAGATCTGCCACTCACTTCTCTCGGAAAAAGTCTCAAAACTATCACTGATGTCTCAAGATAACTTTCAATTCAAATATTCACAAAATTCCCTGGGGCGATAGCGAAAAAAAACGGAGTAATTAACGGAAAAATAAATAAAAAAATTGTTCAATTTTCGTGAAAGCCGGCGGATTGACTTGCGATGTCCTGCCTGCTCATGAAAATAATCTGGTAATGGGCCAGCAAGTGTATCACGTTGCTCAATGGACAACCGGCTGTGCGCGACTGAAGACAGATTCTCACAGTTTGTACGGTTTTTGGCGGCAGACAGCTTTGAAGGGATTGTAGCTTGTGCGCAGGCGCAGTGCGCTCACGCCACCGTATATCTGCGGTTGCTAATCCCCCCCTCCCCCCCCCCGCCACCGCTGTTTCGATGCCATATACGCGATCCGATCGGCAAAAGCCGCGGCGTGAGGAGCAGAACAGAACAGGTTCGTCTCCTGCTCTTTCTTTCGTTACCCCCCCTGGTCCACGGTATTTCTACGCGCTCTGTTCTTTATTTTTTTCTTCAGTTTTTCCCTCTCACTCTGTCTGACGTGCTCGTTTCTAGCGCGGCACACCACCCCTCACCTCTTCATTTCAAACTGGCGCCGTCGTCATTATGCCCACTCTCGTTACGCCTAATGCTGGGAGCGTTCAATTTTATGAATTAATTAAAAGTCGGAGTAGGGGGGAATGGGCGAGGACGGATGTTCTGGGGTGTAATTTTTGGGGGTGTAATTACTGCTCAACCCCTAACTGGCGCACCTATTTTTTTAAGCCAGTTTTGTCGTGAGGTGGTGAGCGTTTCCCGATAATATTTCCGGGACACTGTTTTGGAATTTTTGTGGAACGAAATTCTAATGAAATTTCAAACAACTTCGGAATTGAAAATTCAGGGATTGTCGACATCCGCAGGAAGAGAGCCCGTTTTGTATACTTCGATAATGTTGATGATATTTCACACATTTTAAGTCCAAAATCACCTCGATAACATGAAAAATGACGTCACTGGAGAAGATCAAACAAGTGGGAAATTGCGTTCATCATATTTCCCTTTCAGGCGCACCTATTTTTTTAAGCCCCTTTACTCGTGAAGTGTTGAGTAAATTCCCAGAAAGTGGCCCGATAATATTTCTGGGACGCTTTCTTGGAATTTTTGTCAGTCGAGACTTTCTCATGAAATTTTAAACAATTTTGTAATTGAGAATTCGTGAATTGTGGACGTCCTCAGGAAGACGCCCATTTTGTATACTTCGATAATGTTCATGATATTCCGCACATTGTAAGTCCAAAATCACCTCGATAGCATGAAAAATGACGTCATTAGAGAGGATCAAACAAGTAGGAAATTGCATTCGTCACAGCATAGTCTATATGTGTGGACGTTCGTATGAAAAGGGACCACTTTGTGGACATGGAGTTATGTATACTCTGATGTTGATAATGTGCCGCACATTTTGAGCCCAAAATGATCCTCATAGGGTCAAAAATGAGAAGACGAACAAAACAATTTCACATTCAGGTGAATATATTCTTGCATTTTCAATTTATTGAAAATTGACCGGAATTTGGTACTAAATATATTCATGTTTTGGGGAATTGGGGAATCCTCGTCTTTCTTCTGTTCAAACATTTGAAATTCCATTGAATCTACAGTGAATTTTGAAATTTCATTTTTCCCCCTAAATCAAATTCCATTTTGCTTTCCCGAAATTTACTAATAAACTGTCTCCATGGAATTTCAATTTTGTTCTAACAGTGTCTAGCACATCTCCAATTAATTGATTTTTATTACGCATGATAAAGCGGGTGATTAGGATAATTGAGTTGTTGCGTGAAATTTATTCATTTGATAAAATGATGAAATACGCAAATTGAATGGAATCCACTCGATACGTTTGTTTTGGCTTTGAAGAATCATCGAAAACATTTCATTGTTATTAACTCATCAATTTTTTCAATTCTATCAAATATTTTGGCCTCTCATAAAGATGTCAGAAGGAATTAAATTGTATGTGATAGATTGAGATAGGTAACCTCCTTTGAAGTAGATCATTATTTCGCAGTTGCGATAATTTATTGTGAAATAAATTAGGATCGTGTTGATGTGACCTAGAAGTTTCACAACTCATTTGAATTTTCAATTGAGCATGAATATTCATTACCAAAATAAGCTGATTCTCCAAAATTTTAGTCGAAATGTCACTCATTGAGAATGTCTGGAATTTGACACGAAAAATTGAAACGAGAGTTTCTAACCGTGTAATATAAAAGGCAATTAGTCTACTGAAATTATGAGCATTGCCACCATTTTTTAAATCTTCTAGGCATAAGCCCCACAAAAATATTGTAGTTCTTACTATACAATTTAAGTAATCGGAGAGCGAACCAATATTTCAGGAATATTTATCGGAAATCAGGAAAAAAATGTCAGGCAGAACATAAATTTTTCTCTTTCATAATTTCTCACGAGTTAAGCGAGCAAAGATTTAGAAATTATGTTTTTTTCGAGCTGAAAACTCCACAATATTGAAAGTTGTCCCCAAAACTATTGAGTCATGAAAATTGTATTCAGAATAAGAAATGGGTGATGTTAAAATGAAGTCACCTCCCGATTCCCCCGGAGTTTTCAATCAAATCACTTGAAATCCCCAATCTTATCGAGTTTTCAGAATTCCGCGTCATTTGTATTTGAAACGAGAGATAAATGCTCGTTAAAAAAGTATAGCAACTCATAAATTTTCAGAATTGATGCCACTAATATCAGTCGGAGATATTAAAAGCAAATTACTCGTGACTGGCAATCACGGAAATTAATATTCCATTTTTTTTATCAGCACAGCCGAGACAAATGCTCAAATCGTGGCAATTAAATAAATATAAATTCACACTGAAATATACATCACGTGTACAAATGTTTGGGGATAAAGTGAGGGGGCGAGTTAAAGCCACGAACGGTGGAATACATGTACGAGGCTGAAAAGTTTTAGATAAACAGTAAATTATAGATGTAAACAGATGAATATTTAGATAGTTGTGTGTTACAAGGAAATGTTTGAGAAAGGACGAGTGATATATCCAGAAACACATACTCGCGTTAAAATTTACTGTACGTGTTTACACTTTGTTTTCCCCAATGAGCTGTTTCATATCGTTGGATATGGAAACGTCAGTGTCCCGAGTGGTACATAGAGACACGGGCTGACACTGGGGATGACGCACATCATAGTCGCTATTCGAGTATTATTGTAATACAGTGAACTCATGACTCTGCGGTATGTTTATCGTCTTTCTTTTTTATTTCATTGCTGTGTCATGACGAAAGTCGCGGAGATTATTTCTAGTGGCTGGGTGGGGGCCATCGAATGTCCCATCACCCCACACACCACGAGCAGTTCAGCGTTTTTATTAGACAACGTGCCTCACCTGAGGTTGAATGTTCGAGATGAATTCATTCGGGGGGTGATGGGACTTTACGAGAAACATTACTCAATATTCATTGAATGATTCTTTTCATTAAACAATTGAGGAAAATTTAGGATGGAGAGGAAATAAGTTTCGATTTTCGGGAATATCTCACGGATTTTCAGGAGTTATTCGGGAGGAGGGGATTTTAGGAGGGAAATTTTGGAATTCATAATGAGAAAAAACATTACTTTTGGAAAGAAATTACTTTCTTGGGAGAAGAATTAATTTTTTTAGGAGTGTATTTCTCTTGGTCAGTCTCAAATCTCAATCTCAAATTTGAAAAATAATGAAAGGTGTTCCAGTTCAGGTGAAATTTTCATATACTGTTAGAAACTTTCTTGAATCTGAGCAATAACTGTATCAGAATTTTCCACTTTGTGAACTTGAATTCAATTTCAAGTCAAATCGTTCATTAAATTTCTCACTCATCTTGAAAATTCGATAAAAGACAACTTTTTATGCAAAACAATTATTGATATTTCAATGAAAGGAACGAATAACGAACAAAGTCATGTACACTGAGAGGAAAATATAATTGTGCCAATCAAATATGTTTCAGACAAGAATTTATAGCGATATTTTGTATGACAATTTCGGGCATTTGTTTATTTGAAATAAATTTGCTTGGCAGAATTGTATTTTTTCCAGTGTACGGGCATATGTACGAGAAAACCCTGTAATACTGTGGATTATTAGATTGACGGTGAAGGGGTACAGCTTTTACGGACCCCAATGTGACAAATTGCATTGTTCAAAAAGATTTTTTTCGAAAAAAAAAGTCAGAAAGTAACATTTATGCAGCACCTAAAAATACTCTTATTCTATTCTATCACATCAAAAACAAATGTCTAAACTTCACACCCCTGTTGTAGACATTTTTCAGACACTAAAAAACGTCTGCATAAAATGAAAATTTTTCTGAATTTCAAACAATGAATTAAGATGTTTAATTGATTTAAGATGTTTAGGCACCTGTTCGTCTGCAATTCAGACAAATTTTAATTTTACTCAGATGTTCTTAGTGTCTGAAAAATGTCTGCAAAAGGTGTGTGAAATTCAGACATTCGATTTCGCTGCCATGAGCTCTGAAACAAATTTCCCTCAGAAACAAATTCTCGAACTACTTGAATATCCGCAACGCAAAAAATTCCTCTGTGTATCGTTTGCATTCCACAAAAAAAGCTTTGGCAATCATTAAACCAATCTCCTGTCCCAATGCGCTAAACTCACTCCATAAAAGTACGTGAATGCTTTTTCGCATTGAGAAATCAAACATCTGTGCCGATAGAAGGATTTAATAGTCGTTAAGGATACTTTTTACCGATTAACTATTAACGAATTGTAATAGTTATTAAGAAGCCTCGTTAACAGCACCAAAATCCCTCCTTGTCAATACCCCATTCACATAAAAATACGTAAAGACCAATTACGTCATTCAGGAGATACTAATCCCTCGAGAATTCACTGCCACAGTTTTGCCTGATGCATCAATAACTCCTTTGAAAAAAGGACTCCATTCATTTCCATCAAAAATCCTCAGCAGTATTATTTTTAAATTGACGACCCACGGAATGAAGTGCCAATGGCACTCGCAAACAGGCGGAGGTAGTAAGAGGATTTGACTAAGGCGATTTTCGATTTGTAGTTTGCTTGTTTATAGGGAACGGGACGATGGAATTGAAGATGCTTTGTTGATGTCGCATCGATGAAAAAATCGGGGACATATTTTTGTCATGGAGAATTGTCGGACACTCTGATCCGAGGAG